ATTGATAGCTTGAGATTTCAAAGGTCACTTTTACTCAACAAGATCATTAATGCCTCGTTCGTTTTGTAAATTTTAATTTTTAATTTGAGTTAAAATATGATATTTTTTTAATATTTTTAATTATAATAAAAAAAATTAAATGTAATATTTTTTAAAAATTTTAATTACAAAAATTTAAAACTCAAATCGTTAAAATGAATGAGGTCAGAATATTAAAAATTCTCGTTACTTTTTTCTGTAATTAACAAATCTCATCTAATAGGAGCAAGTAATGTCATCGTTGGTTTGGATACTTTAAACTTCATTTATTTTATCGATTTAAATTTAAAATTTAAATTTTATTACAGTAAAAAAATTTTAAAAATAATTACATTTAATTTTTTTATTATAATAAAAAAATTTTACATAAAATTATATTTTAATTTAAATTAAAATTTTAAATTAATAAACTAAATGAGCCTTTATATTACAAAGAGTAAGGGATCAAACTTGACAACAGGTGAGAAATAATGAAAGTGGCTGTGGCTTCTCACATATTGACCTTCAGCGGTATTTGACTGGACTGGAGGCACATCAAAAATCCTAGAAAATCAGTTGTTGACAGAAAAATGACAAAAGAAAACGTAGAAATTTACATGCATTGTCACGGTCAAAGAGCTAGGAGAGTCCGAACCAAGATCGTCACGGTGTTCGTCACTAGTGAAATCATATATAAAATATTACAGTACAAAAAGAGAACATACGATTGTGGGTGGTGGAACCGTGAAACTGGTCATACGCGGCTCAGACACTGGCATAAATACGGGGCCTCCGTTATATATATATATATATATATATATATATAATCTTTAACTATTAAAAATATATTAATCAAGATTTTTATTTTTTATTTTTTATTTTTAATTAATAATTTTTGTAATTAAATAATTACATTAATAAAAATATATTTATTAAAAATAAGGAGTTTAAAACACTCTCAAGAATAAATTTTTTATTTTTTTATTTTTTTTAATTTCCTTTTTTAGCTTGATGTGCGACCTTTTTCTTTTCCAAAAATGGATATGCACACTTATACTTTTGACCCTATGATAGGCTGCCACGTGTAAGCTCGAAATAGCAAATTACAATCTCGTACAGCCATGTTCACATGCAATTTTTGCAGTTGATTTTCGTTTTTTCTTTTTTGCTCTTTGGCTTTTTATTTTTAAATTTTTTTAATTTTTTTAATTTTTTACTTTTCCTGGAAGAGATAAATTATGTTACACTAGAAATAAAGGAGGAATGAAAACAACCAGAAGAACCGACAAATATGAATGTAAGTTTGTATATGATTTGTTGGACGGTGCTTGAAGGTTGGTCCAAAACTTTCTTCTCTAAGGTTTGGATAAAAAAAATAATTGAAAAATAATGTTCAAATTTTAACCCCTAGACGGAGTGAAAGGTGATCATATTTATGATATTATTATTTGATCATGATCTCTCATTTATTTATTTATTTATTATTATTATTTTACAGAGATGATATATTATGTAAGGATTTAGTTTAAAAAATTATTGTAACATTTGCATCACATTAACATTATGAAGTTAGGGATCAAGAAGATTTGCCCCCACGCATATCCGAGATCTAAGGTTTAGATCATGAAAAACAAATGATTAATATTTATGTGTGTTGAGCTTGAGATCTATAATCTACCCCAATTCAAAACAAAATTTTAAAAAAAAAATTTAAGAAATAATAAATTATCAGCACACACGAACTTTCTCATGATCTTCTGAAGAATTTTTATAGGAAGCTTCAGAATGATCAGAGAAAGAGAGCTAAAAGACAGGAACCTAAATAAACTATTATGTAAAACTTTTTTTCCCCCCCTTTAAACAATAAGATATGTAAATAAGAATCCTTTGCCAGCTTTCGGAGAGGAAGGAATCATGTGAACAAGGTCAAACCTGTAAAATCCAAAGGACCCTTTATTCATATATTTTTTATATATTTAGGTATATAATATATCATCAATAAATGTTAATTTCTCTCATTCTCTTTATCACTTTTTAAATTTATTATTTAATATGTAAATTCTATTATCTCATTTTTTTATTTAAATATAATAAGTAATAAAGTATAAAAAGTGACAAAAAAAAAATGTAAGAGAAGAAGTGAGCTAGCATTTTTTTATATCACCAAAGAACACCCTTTCTAGTCAAAGGGGTGGAAGTCAAAACGAGCAAGGAATTCTGCTGTGTGAAAGTCCTCCATCGAGGAATGGATGTAAATCCGAAATTGCCCTCATTTTTTTATTTAAATATAATAAGTAATAAAGTATAAAAAGTGACAAAAAAAAAATGTAAGAGAAGAAGTGAGCTAGCATTTTTTTATATCACCAAAGAACACCCTTTCTAGTCAAAGGGGTGGAAGTCAAAACGAGCAAGGAATTCTGCTGTGTGAAAGTCCTCCATCGAGGAATGGATGTAAATCCGAAATTGCCCCTTCGTTGATTCGAGTTTTTAATTTAAGTTGATATATGATTTTATATAAGAACTTTTTACTATAGTAAAAGAGTTAGATGTGACTATTTCTGAGAACTTTTTACTGTAACAAAACTTGAATCGGTGAAATAAACGGGACCAAAGTCAAAGACCAAAGCGCAAATGGACCATAACACGCTACAATATGAGTCTGTGGCAAAGAGCAAAGTCCCAATGAAGAACAAAATTGTAATAATGAAGGACAAAATTGTCAATGAAACCATTGTTACATAGGGGTGGTAATTCGTGTCACGTGTTGTGTTCGTGTTGTGTTTTGATCGTTTTTTTAAAATTTACAGTCAACCCGAACACGAAATTTTTTTAAAACCGCAACACGAACACGACACGACCACTTTACGAGTTGACACGACACGATCCGAAAATGACCCGTGACACGAAATGGACCTGTGAACCCGAAATTGACACGAAAGTTGTATACTTTTATTTAGTTTTTTACGTATTAGAAATAACTTAAAATTCATAACACACTAAATTACAATCACATCCATTGAAATTAAGCAAATAATAGTATAAGATTTTGAGTATAACTATAATGATATCACAAGTTCATAATAAAATTTAAAATATGAAATGAAAAATATATGTATTTTTTAGTTTTTTACGAGTTTCGTGTCGTGTTCGGGTTAGGCGGGTCCAACCCGAAATTGACCCGTATTTTTCGTGTCAATTTCAGGTCGACCCAATTCTGACCTGAACCCATTTTTTCTCAAACCTAACCCGTAAAATTCGTATCATTTTCGAGTCGTGTCGTAGTCTCGTGACCCATATTACAGACCCTACCATTATACATTATTAATCTCGATGTCAATGATTCAATGCAAATAAAAACTAAAATTGAATACTTTTCCAAAAAGAATTAAAAATATAAAATTAATCATAGACAGTTACCACGTGTATGGTTTTTTATACTCTCGTAAACTTTTATTTACTAAAATATCATAGACGGCTCAATAATATTTTAACAAAATTAATAATTTTTAGACAGAGAAATAATGTTGTACTATTTATAAAAATTAAAATAATAGTAACGTGAAATCTACTAAAATGACGGAAATGACCCTCACAAACTTCTGGGAAATAGAAAAGCAATTTGCAGGTGTGAAAATCAAAAGCCGACCAGCAATTAAATGTCTGTCTTTTGGACCATACTTCTTGCTTCCTCCTTCGAAGAACCCGTCACTCTCTCCCTCTCTCTCTCTCTCTCTCTCCTCCTGTCTCTCTCTATTCTCTATATATAAAGCTTCTCCCCTCCCAATGTTTCCCCCACACCAACAACAAATTTCCACGTTTCTATCTCTCCGTTCTCTTCCTTACAGCAGAATCAATCAAGATTCAAGAACGATCAACAATGGCGGGGATAGCTAGGGCTTTCGAATTCGAGGACTTGTTGCCGGTGATGGCGGAGAAAGTGGGCGGCGAAGGGCTGATAAACGAGCTCTGCAACGGATTCGAGCTTCTGATGGACAAGGAAAAGGGGCTGATCACGCTCGACAGCTTGCGGCGAAACTCGGCGGTTCTCGGCCTCCAGGACCTGAGAGAAGACGAGCTCGAGAGCATGGTTAAGGAGGGCGATTTGGACGGCGACGGAGCGCTGAACCAGATGGAGTTCTGCGTCTTGATGTTCAGATTGAGCCCTGACCTCATGGACGAGTCCTGGTTTTGGCTTCAACACGCTCTGCAACAAGAGATCGCCACCAGTTCTTGATCGATTCGTACGTTGTTGTGGAAATTGCACTACGACAACGTTAATAACGACGTCGTTTTGAATTTGTATTTTACATCTTTTTTTTTTGGGATTGCGTCATTGTTTATAATGAATTAAAAAGGAAAAAATACAAATAAAAAGGAGAAAAAGAAAAATAAATTGTCTCGGCAAAGTGCTCCATTTCTTTCTTTTTTTTTAATTAATTTATTATTATTATTATTATTTTGGTACTCGGCTGTCCAATTAGGGCTGTTCATAAAATTGAACAACTCGTAAATCCAACCCATCCCGTCTCAATTCAAGTCGAAAAAAGTAACTCGCAGCATAATTTTTAAATTTACGGCTCATTATACATCTGGCCCGAAGTGTTTGGGGCGGATTGCGGATTGGACTTATAACAACCCGTAATCCCCAACCCAACCCGCATAATATACCCCTAAGCTTTCGGTCCAAGACGAACTGTCTAAGTTCTATCCTAGGCTCGCTAACATTAGGGTTTACAATCTCATTCTCGGTCTTCCTTCCAGTGAACCCCCTCTTCTTGCATCTTCCTTTTCAGTTTTCCCTCTTCTTCCCCTCCTGTGAACCCCCTCATAACTCTCTCCTCATTGCTCAGTCCTCTCGGTCGCCGTCTGGCCCACTTTCTCCGGCGCTCTCTCGCCAGACTGATAAGGATGGTTGCTATTTGTATTTAATGATGAAGTTTGAATATTATATTGAACTTTAAGTCTTTAATTTTTTTAATGTTGAAACCGACCACCCAACCCATTTCGCACCGTCCTAACCCAGTCCGAACATTGTTGGGTTGTGAAATTTTTTTAACATCATTGGAGCTAAATATGTGCAACCCGCACTCTTTAAGATGAAGAAAAAAAAATTTTATCCCGCACCAACCTAACTCATGAACAGCCTTATGTCCAATTTACAAAAGCGATGAATTTGTCTGAAGCTATTTACATTTGTCACGTATGCTATATTCAGTACACGAGTAACTTTTACATGAAACACTGCAAAATTTTGTTGTTGGTGTTGTTATCTAGAAGAGAAGAAAGCAGTACTCATTCAGTGAATCTTCGTAGACATGTTGATCCAACACATTTTTTAAGTAAAAAATATCCATCACATTTTTGGATTCCTATGTGGTGGAGTTTTTTTTTAATTATTTTTTAATCTATATATATATATATATATATGTATATATCTGTTGAGATCGATATAATATAAATAAAGTTCGTGGAACTGGATACCTCTGAATTGGCCATTGCAAGCTCTTTATAGTTGTTACCACGTGCAAAACGTAAAACATTATGCTCACCAGTCTCGGTTATACGAGGATGTTAATTGCACGTCTCAGTCTATTTTAGTTTAAAGGGTATGAGTTTAAATTTTTTATTTTAAAATATAAAAAAAGACATCTTTAAACTCTCAACTAAAAATATATACAGTCCGTTTAATTCGTTGACTTAAGTTTTTAATATAAATTGAAATGTAATTTTTTGTGATAAATTTTTACTATAGTAAAAAAGATAAATGTGATTGTTTTTAAGAGCGTTTTACTGTAACAAAATTTAAATTTTAAACTCGAATCAGTGAAATGAACGGGGCCTACATATATACAAATAAAAAAGGTACGAGCTAGAGAGAGTTAGCCCATCACAATTAGATTGGAGTCTACAGTGGACATTTGGTTCATAGATTCAGAATTATGATTCAGAATTAATATTATTCTCAACTTACTTGTGTTTTTTATGAGAAAAAATATTGTAGAGAGTCACGAACTATGATCCGAATCATGACACGAATTCTCATATCAAACACCCATTTATAACTCAAATAAGGCTTTAATCTAATTTAGTAAAGATTAAATAGAAAAAATGAAAATAAAAATAAAATCACATCTAGCCACAAGGGAAAACCAAACAAAAGAAAAATACGGTAAGCAACAACTCTACAGAATTCGCAAAAGAAAACAGCTAGAAATAAACGTGCGGGTTTTATTTATGCAACTTGAAACTCTTTCACTTTCAAATATGAAGACTATAAGCATTCTTCTTTGCATAATCAGTGTTTTTACCTCAGATTACGAGTTCTTTCAATTTATCCCAAGACCCTAAAATCACTATCCCCACTTCTTCTTTAAGTAATCCTATACTCAATTTTCTCTCTCGGCTTCGCATTCTTGTGATACATTATTTCTCCAACGTCTTTGACCCTGAGCGTGCTAATACCCTGTTGCTTATTGTTACGTTGTTTTCTTAATTTGATAGGCATGAATGCTCCTTATGCTGATGATCCGCCCAAAAAATTTTAGGAGGTGTTTGTTTTATATACTCAAATTCAAACTCATGATTTTGTTACAGTGTAAAATTCTCACAAAAAATTTAAACTTTAAACGTCAGAATCAAAAAAATTGAGTTTGAATATACTTTCTAAACGTGCCCCTAGTGATTGAATTGGCTTCCTATATAGCTCGATTAAATGTTTAGTACATCTCAACAAAAGACGATATGATCAAAATGTTACTTGATTGAACTTACTCTGTGGTATCTTCTTTATGGCTAGATTTCGGCCAATGTCTTGAGTCAGAAATATTAGAACTCCAATATGGTTGAGATGAAGAAGAATTTTCATCCCTGGTTGAACATGGATTTCACTACTTTCTTTTATGTCTTGAATCTGAGCAGTCTGTTCTTGAACCGTTACAGTTGTGACTACAATGCAATTAAGCTGCGTCCCCAGGAAATCTCTGGGAGCATATGTTGAAGTAATCTCAGTAAACGACAATACGTTGAAGCATCCTCAAAAGTGTCGTTTCTTAATGAAGCTAATTGGAATGCTGCATTTTGTTGAAGACACTTAAAAGAGAGATTGGGATTTCTAGTGAGAGAAAATCTTGTATTGTGATTGGGAAAGTCAAGAGAGAAATTGAGGGTTTTTTTTTTTTTTTTTTGGTATTTTCTCTGGGGAATTTTTTGGGAAAAGTTTTAATTTTTGGGTTTTTGTTTTTTTTGGTTTTTTTTTTTTTTTTTTTTTTTTTTGGTGTAATCTGAGAGTTCTGAGTGTGAATTACAATCTCTGATAGTGGATCGAGTTCTTTGAGGACATAGGGAATTTTGCCCCACACCTCGGTAAAATTTTCAGTGTTTTGTTTTTCTTTAATCCTAGTTTCACTGGGTCAATGCAATAATGGGATTAACAAGATTTTTATCATTATTAAGTCCAATAGAACTTGTTCTTATATTCTTCTTATCAACTCATATGAAGACATAGGTAGGCCGGGTATAAGTATATTCTTTTGTAGTTTTTTTCAATCCGAACCTATGCTACTTGCTCTCGAGATTGGTTTCGACATGCCACGCGATGGAAAAAAAAAAAGAATATATATATATATGTGTGTGTGTGTGTGTGTGTGACTTAAATTGTTTTCAGGTGATTATTACGAAAATAAAAGGGAAAATTATTTTGATATATTTTACTTTTTTTTTTAAAGAAAAAATCACTTTGATGCTCTGCATTATTCATAAAATTGAAATGGTACTCTCAAAATTAAGGTCTCGTTCATTTCATCGATTCGAGCTTTCAGTTTTAGATTTTTACAGTTAAAAATTCTTAAAAAATGTCACATCTAATATTTTTTGTTACAATTAAAAACTATTATAAAATGTCACATCTTAACTTGAACTGAAAACTCAAATTCGCGAAACGAATGAAACTTTAAAATATCATTTTTAATATCGTAAACTTACTTTTTTTATGCATTAAATATCATTTTCTCCTCTCTTTTACTTAATTAGAGTGATTCGGGAGAAAAAGTGCCCGTTCACTTCGCTGATTCGAGTTTGTAATTCGAGTTGAGATGTGATTTTGTATGAGAGCTTTCTACTGTAGTAAAAAAGTTAGATGTGACTGTTTCTGAGAGCTTTTTACTGTAGCAAATATCGAATTCTAAACTCGAATCGGCGAAATGAACGGGGCCCTTTTCACACAGATAATTTTATATTCTCAAATTTTATTAAAGAAATAGAGGTAAGATTTTTATGACTGTTGTTGTGTATACAATAAAGCGTTAGTTGTGACGACCCTCCTATGAGGCCGCCACTGTAACTTAAACTTTAACTTGTACTTACTGGCATTTCTTAAAATTTGCGGAACATTTTTTTTTTTTTTAAACATAAGAATGAATACTTTCATAATTCGTAACAATAATTTCAAAAGAATAAATCACTGAATTTCTTAAAGCTTTTCTTAATTTCAATTAAGATAAAACCTTCTAGAAATATTTTTCAAATGGAGCTGTGTTTGAACTCTTGTTTCAAATACTCTTTAAAAGCCTTTCTAAAACTAGCCAATTTAATTGGGCCATTTAATTTGACTTTAAAACGGATTTCGTGAGAAATCTTAAATTCAAGTACATCTTAAAGTCCTTTTAAAATCAATCATTTAAATCGTCATGTTTAAAATTCGTTTATTTGTTGCATGCACTGTTGCAACGTTCTAAAACTTAAATACTCAAAACGAGGATTGTTAGCTACAACCTCAGTTTCCTTAACATACATATGTACCTATACTTTTTAAACATACATACTTGAAACCTTTGAATCATAGAGACATATACATGATTTTTCTTAAACTTACTGCGGAAGATAACTGCG